CTCTTTCCCCATCATGCTGTTTTCTTACTTGGAAATGAGATAGGTCTTTATCGCACTGATGATCACTGAAGAGTCATTCAATTGCTGAAAAACAGAATTAAAACAAACTTTCAAAAGAAGTTGGTGAAATTGAAAAGGAAGTTCTTCAAAACCTTTCCCCCTCCATGCTGAGGCTCCAAGTTAGAACTGCAGTCCCTTTTCCTCCCATGCATTTCTACAGGAGTCCCTGCCCATCTCAGCCCTACATGCAGATCTCTTCTGTGATCGTTTCAAAGTATCACTTCAAATTGGTCTTTAATTCTGACAACAGAGGACCAGAGGGCCAGGTACACATGCAATACCAGTGGGTTTTAGATTTAGGCTCTTGGCAGGGAAGGAGGAAAGCAACCCTAACATTAAAAAAAAAAAAAAAAAAGGGCAAGTTGAATCTTCAGTATTCTTGAGATCTCATTTTTTCCCACAAGATACAAGCAGTTCCTGTTACTGCTGGTACAAGTGATATGTCCTGCGTAAGGGCTGACAGAAGCCAGATAATGACTGGATTACAGAGTCACTACACAAACAACATGCCTTGTAAGAAAGACCAACAAAAAGCTCTAATAAGGCCAAGGCATAGGAGACCATGAAGCAAGAAACAAATTTAGGCTTTTGAGATAATAAAAGATGATTTAAAGATTACACTGCATGTGATAAACGACAGAGACAAGCCTCCAAACCACTGCTTTTGGGGAAATCAAGCTTTCAACACAGTAAGACTTACCAGAGTGCTTCCAGCATTGGCTAGCAGGATAGGCACCTTTCTGTAGGAAGAGAATTTGATCTCTTTCCTCATTATCGGGTTCACTTCCACAATTTCATAGGGCAGTCCATGATAATCAAGAAAAGCTCGGACTTTGCTGCAGAAAGGACACGTTTTGTACTGGTAGAGAGTGAGCTGCAGGCTCCCTGCAGGCAGCTGGGGAAGGAAGAGACCAGAAGCTTCCATTTTCTACTCAAAATGGAAATATTACCTTCCTTCCACCCTTATTTTTGTCATAAAGTCATAGTCATTGACATTCAGTTTCAACATCTGATCATCAAAATATCTTGGCTAAGAGATGCCTTCTTCAATTGGCATCACAAATATTCACCTTCCATTGGGACCAAATACCTGTCTTTCTAAACATCTATTTAATCTGCTGGAAACTCCTACTCACAGCCAGAAAAAAGAAGTTAAATCCAGACAGCTTAGCCCTCTACACACAATTCCAAATAAAAACACAACCATATTTTAACTATCTTTAAATCAAAACCAAAATAGCCTTTTCAATCCAATTTTTCCCCCCAATAACCCCTATTGAGGCCACAGAGTGGGGAGAGCAGAGAGTTTGCTGTTGATTTTAGGCACATGTCTGCCCGAATTCAGATTCTTGGGACTAACCAACCTGTGCACAACTGAGACAAGACACGGAGAACGTGGGGTAGCACAAACAGCGAGGCACCAAGTGAGGGATGTTTCCCAACACTGCTATACTTCAGCGATCTGACAGGCCACACCAATCATTAGTTATATATTATAAACCAAATACAGTCATCTCACTTTGCTTCTCGTTTGCAATTTATCGGGTTACACAACCCTCCGTGGGCGCTGGGACAAAGCAACAACTCTAGCAGACAATGCTGCTTCGTACCCCCAGCCAGCTCTCGCTTTCTGACAGGCATTCCTTGCAGCTCCTCAAGGAGAATGCGGCCGGGGCCTCCTTTACACAATTCTAAGCGGTTTCCTCACCGAAACCAGAGCAAAAGCAGCCGCTTGGTCCGCAAAGCGGGAAGAAACCGCGCTCTCCCTGAAGCCCTTGTCTCCAGGGCCTCGCCACCGCGGCCATGCCAGGGCTCGGGGGCTCGGGAAGGGCAGGCGCCCGGGGATGGAGGCGGCAGGAGCCGCGGGGGGGGGGCGGGGGGGGGGGGGGGGGCAGGCCGCGGGGGGGGGG